ATTTTTTAAATTAACTTAACTAGAAAAGAACGGATAAAAATTACAAAAAAAAACTTTATTTATTTTCTTAAGTGATACACAACAAATGTAACACAATTTTAGCTCATAATATTATTATAATTTTTTTAAATTATAATATTTTTTATATTTTTTCTTATTAAAGAGTATTTTGGAAGGGCATTGTTATTTTTCAAAGTAGAACTGTTAACATTCACGACAAAATTTCCTTCGCATTCATTTTAACAAACGTAACCTATTGATTCGTCGTAATTAAAGAATATATATATTTTTGTTACTGACATTTATTTATTTTCAATCTTTGCTGTGAGTTAAGTATATGTTTTAGTTGTGTTGGTCACTTCCTACAATATTTCGACTTCTATAGATAAAAATACCAAATAAGTATAAAATTTATCTTTTTGTGCACTTGAAGTCGTTCGTCATCTGAAAATCTTTGTAGTTTCTACCTAAAGCTGTTAAATCAACGTCGAATTGACGTTATATTGACGTCAAATTTCCCTAAATAAGTATTACCAAACGTAGAAGGCTACTACAATGTGAATTTAGGCGTAATTTTACCTATTTTGGTCAATAAAACCAAATTTAGACGTCGTCTTCTTCTCCACTTATGTCGAATCCACGTCGAGATAACGTAAATTTTTCTTAAATATGGTTAAATCTAATTTTGCGACCAAATTTATTATACATATTTTAGGTAGTCTCGACGTCAAATTAAACCAAAATGTTTGCTGGGGAGTTAGTTGTTATATGGACAGTGAAGATAAATAGTCAACAGTTTAAAGACATTAGAAATATATATAAATTAGAATACTAGTGTAAAATTAATAGGTGTTTAAATAAATTATTAATAAATAAACTGTTGTTTAAAATACACAAACATCACAATAATTTTATTCACACCAACAAATACGAAACATCTCTGTTTATGGATTTTATAAATTTTTTACTTTCCATTGTAGTCTTTTCTTACTTTAACCATGTCCTTTTGGTAATATTAAATTATTATTTTTTTTTATTTTCGAATGTTACAAAAATTTTATTTAAATACTTCACGTTGCTTTACTAAGTTATTTTCTAACACATTTTCAAATATATGTTGTAACACAAAATTACATTATATTTAATTAATATTATATTTCGGACTAGTAGTTTGTGTAACAAGAATGGATGTGATGGCCATAATCGCACAAAGACAAAATTTGAATAGAATGTTGTAGGAGGAGTACTCAATCGTGTAATACAAATAATCCACTCGAGTTACACCGTATTGTTTCACCACTCACTAACGGAAATTTACAAATGTTAAAAATTTATTTAGGTTAATAAGATAAAATAAATAATTTAAAAATAATTTATAATCCTTACTAATTTATAAAATAAACTAAATAAAAATTACATTTTATAATAAACTGGAAGTTACGTTAATTTTCATACGGATTATATTATATTGTTTTGTATACAGAGTGCCTCCAAAAGGTGGATACATAGCATAACTATAGACTCCTGGGATAAAAAATGCAAGATGATGTAATTCAACTAAACTATATCCATTACTTATACACTGTGTACAAAAAGTAACGTATCCTGCTAATATTTAGATTTCTGATGTTAACCAAAAAATGCTTTAAATAAAAATTTAATGAAATAAATCAACTTATCAATTATTACAGTTAATTACATAAATATAAGGTGCATTCAAAAAAAGGCAAGGATATATTTTGTAAACTAATAAGCCAGATGCGGTTTTAACGAATGTGTTTTAAATTTAATAGATTAGAAAAACTGAAAATATATACAGAGTTATTTTAAAATAATGCTGCACCCGGTATATCTATAATTGACTTTTACTAATAACTTGATTAATTTTTTAAAACTTTATTCAATACAGTATTTTGTAAATCAAACAGAAATCGAAATATTAACAACTTACGTAACTTTTTGAACAGTTTATAAAAACAGTATGCAGAAATAAATATATTATCAATACAATTGCTTTGGCATGTTCATAAAATGAAGCAGCCATATATCAATAATAGAAAAGGAGCAGACGTCCCTGAACAATTATTATCGTTAGAAAAGTACAAATTGATAAAACAAAGCTCGATAGTAACAGTGATTGAATGAAAACGTATCTGCTCCCACAATAAATATTACAGCGATGTTTTTTGTTCAAAAGAAACACAACACTGCCGGCTTTTTCTCTGTCCTCGGAATAGCCGTAAAAGAGATAAATGGGAAAAACTATTAGTGAGTCATCTTGGAGGTTTTGTTCATAAAAAGAAGTTGCTGACGCCGAAACGGTGGAAAGTTTTTTTAGCTCGTGGTTATTTGTAGCTCTTTATTCTCTTCCGGAGCAAAAAATATAATTACAATTTGGTGGGGGTTTATATTCATGTCGTTTTTTAGGATGCAAGTTCTAGATTGTTATTATTGAAATTTACGTAATAATATTAAATAATTCATTATATCACACACCAATAAAAAAAGTTAAAAAAATTTAAAAAAATAAAAAAAAATAAAAATATACAAAAACACTATGGTTTAAAAAGCGTAAGTTTAGCAATACTGTTTCTCCACAAGAGCTTTAAATAAAAGTAATACTAAAAAACATAAAATATAGAAAAGGAATAACAAATATACAGTGTGTCTACTTAAGTTGGAACCATATGGAAAACATTTTTATTATTGATTTTAGGAAAAAAAGTTATTCTTGATAAAAAGTCTTGCATGACCCAAAACTTAAAATACAGTCATCAGATATCAAATTTTTCAAGCCGTATACGAGGTTTGTCAAAAAATATGTCAAGAGTAAAGTACGTTTATTTTTTTACAAAATCGAAAATTTTCATTAAGAAATTTGCTAAATTCTTCACAAACATCAACAAAAGGAAAGCGTATCATGTTTATAGTAGCTAACGTAATTTATTCACTCACTGAACTCCCCACCAGTGGAACGCTACACGTTCCTGTCAATTTAGTCAAAAATAGCACAGCTCTGCGATGTTAAGCGGCATTACAACGCATGCGCATTACGGAGTTTTACACATAAGAATTACTGGTTGCATAAATAAATTATCAGGACTGGATTGCCTCCTTCTCCCACCTATTTGTATTAACATATTTTCTTATCTTGAACTTGCTTACTTTAAAATTAATTTAAACGAAGCTGTAGCGGAGTTATTCTGTGATTTTATTAAGGTGTTTTATTGTGTCAATCATACAGTATTGTTGCAAACATTTTGAGTTCACGAAATCAAAGATGAAGCGCTGATAAAATATTATCTTTCAAAATGCAAGCAAATCGTAAGAATTATTATTTACTCTCAAGTTTTAGATATAAGGTGGGAGTCCTTTAGGATTCTTTGATGAGTCTCATTTTATTTCTTCTTTATATAAATGACTTAACTTAACATTGTAAGTACTTTCACTCTAATTGCTGACGACACTATGATTTTATGGCGCAGACATGACACCTATTCAGATATGTACAATCAATGTGTAGAGTGTAGAGTTTATAAAAAATAAGAAAATCTGTTTTTCAGATAGATCGGTGTAATTGCATATTTGAATGTAATATTCAATTCTAATCAACTTTTCTTTATAAAAATTTTCGATTTTTTCAAAAATAAACGTGCTTTACTCTTGAGCAAAATTCATATTTTTTGACAAACCTCGTATACGGCTTGAAAAATTTGATATGTGATGACTGTAATTTAGGTTTTGGGTCATGCAGGACTTTTTATCAAGAATAACTTTTTTTCCTAAAATCAATAATAAAAATGTTTTCCATATGGTTCCAACTTAAGTAGACACACTGTATATTCTTATATATTATATTGATTCATTTTGGATTGTCTCATATAGTGGAAAAGAGTGAGCATTCTAAAGTTTTAATAATAAATATGATAAAAAAGAAACCTAAGATAGATAGCAAATATTCAAATTAAAATATTATAAGCTGAATTTCATGTTTTGGAATTTGAGGTATTTACTTGCCCAATCTTAACCTCAGTCTGGTGTTTCTGACGTTTGTCAAAAGAAAAGTAACTCTTATGTACCTATATTCGGTTGGATGAGAGTTAATGCTGTGAATGACAGCTCTTGCCGTTTTAAAATGTTTCCATTTTAACGTGCTGCATTAAACTATCGGTATTTTTGAAAACAGCCGGTTTACGTGAAAAGGGAAAAATGGAGGTCGTAGGAGGTTCAAATAAGGTGGAGACAAATTTAAAGGATTAGACCAGGACCTGATTGGTCAAAAATGACTTACATGATAGCATCTTAAATAAGGGGACGCTAAAAAATAGTTTTAGTATTGTAATATTTTTGAATGCACTTTATACTTGTTCTCTTCCATTTTTAGTTTAAAAGAAAATATAGAATTAATTATTATTAAATAACTGTTTTCCAATCAGTCAGACACAAATTTGCATTCAAGATAATCAAAGGCAGAAATATTTCCTTTCTGAACATGTACTTAAGGAATTTTGAAGAACATTGTAAAATAATAATAATTTAGGTATATAAAACCCTTTAGTTTTTTGATGTCTATTATTTTATTTTATTAGATACTCTTGTTACAAAAATAAAGTTTTGTAATTAATTTTCCGTTCTTGCTGAATTTATAGGTACGTTTGCTTGTTTAATTTAACTTCATTTTGCTACTGATAATTTATAAAATTTACACTGTTTTTTTTTGCTAGTATAATTACAATTTACACAGCAACTCCGATGGCTCATTGTATTGCTTTTTACTATTTATTTTTTAAATAAGTAAAAATATATACATATATTTGATATGCCAAAATTACAAAATCTCACCCTAAAATGCACGATTTATCCGCAGCTAGCGCTAGTATCACTTAAAAAAAATAATGCTTTTTCAATAATACAAACGTCCTAAGAACATTTTTAATCAACTTATCTTTTTTTTTTCACATATTAAAGACCAAATCGTATACAACTATAAATTAACTTACGTAGTGTACAGTGACGTCCATTCCACCCCTGCGAACACACACAGGTTCCATTTCTGCACTGACCGTGTTCCTGACATCTAACGTCACAAGGAAGCTGTTCGCATCGTGGACCAGTCCATCCTGAATCGCATCGACACTTACCCGTGTCGCATTGACCATGAGATCCACAATCCAAGTTACATAAAGCTGCAAATAAAAAGTGTATTTAAAGAAGGAGGCAAAATAGACAACACCTAGAATAGTTAAAGTAAGTACTTTTCGTTATTTAATTTATTTGGGAAAGAATATCGTACAGTCATATTTTCGACTTGTAGGTAGGTAACAAGTATTTATGCTTGAAAGGTAAAGGATCATAAGCCACAAATTTCGCAAAATTAGGTTTCAAGAGCAAAGGCGTAGATGAGGGGGGCAATGGGGGTTATTACCACCCGCCAAGCCATAGTCAACATCGATATTTTTTAAACGTTATATTAAACAAAAATAGGGAGATAAAATAAATACAATAAAACAAAGAGTTTCTCAAACATTGTCATCTAAAATAATAAATATTCCTGCAAATTGAAAATTAAAATGTATATACAGGGTCCCATTAGTTAGTAATTGTTCAATATTTCAACTTATGTTATTGATAAGCAAACAAGTTTTAATAAATGTTATACGGATTTGAAAAATACATATTTTAAAAATATTTTTGGATATTCAGGGTGTTGCATTTTTTCCTGACAAATAAAAATGTATGTTTTTTAAATAGAACACTCTATATTTTATTTTTAGAATGGATTGGGAATAACGTATTTAACCCTAGAAGGTTTTTAAAAAAATATTTGTATTACCAAACAATTTATTTTTTTTTAAATTAGAGAATGATGCAGACCCCAAATTAAATTATCATAATTTAGGTAGGTTTACATTAATTTCAAAATTGTTTAATATACAGACATAAAATACTAAGCTAACAAATAGAGGTGATTCAACTGGTTCACTCTATACAGAGTGTTTTGAAACATATCTATGGCTAATTTTAAGTTCAATTTACTAAATTTTTTCAAACCCAATACACTGTATATTAACTTGGCATAAAATTCGCTATAAATTTGTTCATGTAACAATACCAATGTGTTAGTCAATAACACACATACAGGGTGTCCCATCAGTGCATAATTGATCGATAGCTGTTTTATTATTAGAAATACGAAGAAATGTTTAATATAAAAGTTGAATGACCATATTCTTGAATATACAGGGTGGTCCTTAAACGAGGTGCTAACCAAATCTATACTTTTTTAAAACAAAACACCCTGCAGGTAGTCATACATATTTGATTGTTTTTACATCGTCAAACAATTTTAATTGACATCATTCATTTGCTATGTTGTATATAAAGTATATCACAACGTGAGGTTATGATTGTCTCAATTTTTTAATTGAATACCCTGTACTAATTAATTGGTTGTATGACATATAGGGTATTCCATTTAAATAAATGAGAAAATCGTTACCACTCATTTTGAAACACCCTATATACAACATAGCAAATAAATGAAGTCTATTAAAGTTGTTTGACGATGTAAAAATAAATATAAAAATGTATAAGTTTGGTCAGCCCCTCGTTTATGGACCACCTTGTATATTTAAGAATATTTATTAAACATGGTCAAACAACTTTTATATTCATTTGTTTTTCCTATTTCCAATAATAAAACAGGTATCGATCAATTACGTACTATTGGGACATGATGGTATCGTTGGATAGGTAAATTTATAAGGAATTTTATGCGAAAATAGCATTTGACAAAATTGAGTAAATTGAACTTAAAATTAGCCATATTTAAGACATGTTTCAAAACACTCTGTATAAAATAAATCAGTTCTTTCACCTCGAAAATGGAATAGTCTACAAAGATCAACCAGAAGTCCCTTTTTTGTGACAAATATTTATTAATCTTAAGTTTTATGAAATGTAGGGTGTCCAAAAAGTTTTAAATAAAATTGTTTCTTTAGCCCTTCATTCTACGTCAATGGGTTATGGTAATTTATCGAAATAGTGTGTTAACTAATAATGACGATTACCTATCATATACCTACATATTTTTAAGTTAAAGTCTTTACTGCAAGGGAAGATATTTAGAAAATATGTATTTATGAAATTCACTTTATCATCCTGTAGAATGAAAACTGGGAAGTTTATAGGAAAATTTTAATTAGATTTTCTTTATAATTAATTAAGATCTACAAATCCCCAAAATTACAGTACTTTATTCTGAAACACCCTGTATAAATATATAAAAAATTAGAAACTTCGTTATGAAACTCACTATTTTTTCTGGAAATGCACATATGAACTCTTAAACGTTGCATTGGTACCATATTCTAAGTTAAAACTCTGCGCATTCACCAATAATGTGAAAAGTGTTACCCCCCCAAAAACAACCTAGCTACCCGCTTGTTCAAGAGTCACAAAAAATATTCAGTTTCCTCTAGTCGTGGCGATTATCCGTTTCAATTTATTATAAGAAATATAAGTACTTATTTATTAAAAATAAACAGGTTAGAACATTTAACATATTCGCTTAAAACAAAATATGTAGATAACCAAGATTATAATAACTAAATAACAGTTTATAAAACATTTACCACCCTTATAGGACATTTATTATACCGACGTGAGGTTTTAGAGATGTTATGTAAATAAAACTATAAAAATTCATGTTAAAGATTTTGTTGAGCCTATTTCCCGACCTACCATTGGCCAAGTTGCTCTGATTTCGCAGAGACATTTTACCATGTCACATTAACCGTCCAGAAAGCACAATGCGGAAAACAAAGGATGACTGTGACTCGTGATGAAGAATTATATATCAAGAGAACTTTAGGCTAAACTTTAATTGCTCGGAACGAATCACGAAGTCTAGGGAAATCTGTGAGAAGGTCCTTAACCTACTTATGCAAGAAAGGGCATTCTGAAATATTATCTATTGCGAAAGAAAATTTCCTACTAATTTATTAGAACGTTTTTAATATTGTTCATTGGTTTTTATCCGAATAAAAGGCTGAATGGTTTTTAATGAAATAAAAGATAAATACTAAAATGCCTTATTACGAATTACACAAAATTAAATAAAAAAAAACAAATTTTATTACGTAGAGTTGAAATTAATTTAAAAAACAATTTAAACAGAAAATATTTTTATCAAAATGGTTTATTTTAAACGAGGAGACGAGTAGTAAAAATAAAAAAAAGTAGCGGTATATTTTGTTTTGGATTAAAATTTTACGAAAATAGCTATTTCTGTATTAAGAGCGAACAGTGATACTTTGCCGCTTGAGGCAAAAAGTTGCCGCGTAACGCGTAGCGTAGCACGGCAATTTGACGAAAGCGGCAACGAACTTTTCGCTCAAAATGCACACAAGATTTTTTCAACAATCACATTATTTTAAGAAATAGATATAAAAACTGAAAATTTGTTATAAGAAGTGTATAATGTGTTACCTAATCTACGTTATACATGAAAAAAGGAGTTGATATTCAAAGTCAATAAAAGAAAAAACATCAAACTTGGTACAAATAACTTCAAAACAATTTATTAAAAAGAAATATTATTATATTATATCTATTTTAAATTAGGCGAGCGACAAAGCTGTTAAGTTTTCCTCTCGACGATTGACAAAGCTCTAACTTAATGTCAGTTCGCAGGAAACGTCAACTTTGCGGTTGAATTTCGGAGCGCAAAAGCCTACTTTGGAGAGTGGTCGTAGAAAAAAGTCATTACCATTTTCTATCAACATGTTTTTAATTGTACCTGTCATTTAAAATAGACTAGTGAATTAACTATTACTTCTAATCTGAATCAATATTAAATTAAGTACTTATCAACTAAAGCCAATCCATCGATTTTAATTATATTCTATCGACATTGCCGTGCTAAGAGAGTGCGATTTCCAACAGGAAATGTACTCTCTGCATGAAGGACCCGGTGGACATAACCCGAACCTACTCATACTAGGTGACGGAGATGGTCAAAAACAGATTGGACAAAAGTCAAACGAATTTTGGCAGGCAATCTAGGACCAATCCCATGGATTGAGTCCTGCGAGGAAGTAGATGAAACACTCGAGCATCTAGAAACAGTCACGCAACAGGCATTGGCTGACAGCAGAAGACAAATAGAGGTAGCGAGATCTAGTCGTTTTAGAGACATCAGTCAGGAACTGAAAGATCTAATAGTGCTGAAAAGACGCGCTCGTAAGAGAGCACATAGGACAAGGTTGGCTGTAGACAAACGAGAGGCAAGCAGACTTAAAGAACAGGTAGAACTGGAACTACTACTACACAGAGACGAACAGTGGAAAAACATCCTAGATGAACTTGGCTCCCAAAAATCACCCTTTTGGAAACTCAAAAAAGTACTTAGGACAGGCAGACCAAACATACCATCACTACACGGACAAAACGGACTTGCACACACGTACATAGACAAAACAGAAGCGTTTATATCAACGCTGGAACTGAAGTGTACCGAAAATCAACACGAAGACGAAGATATGGAATTTTCGGAGGAAGTAGAGGAATCAATGGAATCCGATGATGAAGTATTGGACACTATTACTGTAACTTCGCCACAGGAGGTCAAGGACTTACTTAAGTTTGTCTCAGCCAAAAAAGCGACAGGGTGTGACGGGATTTCAAACCGTGCACTAAAAAATCTCCCGAATAAAGCCACCGTATTTTTAACCACACTACACACTACTTCCCTAACAACTGGAAAAAAACGGACGTTACAATGCTTAAAAAAACCAGGTAAAGATTACAAATTCCCACAGAAATATAGACTTATTAGCTTATTACCTGCAATTAGCAAAATAGCAGAACGAGTAATTTTAAGAAGACTCAAAGAAGAAACCGAACTGTTAAACGTCATACTCGACGAACAATTCGGCTTTAGAGAAAGACACTCCACGGAATTACAGGTGCTAAGGTTAGTAGAGGGAATCACGCAGGGATTCAATACTAACAGGTCAACTGGAGTTGTCTTTCTAGACGTCAGCAAGGCTTTTGACAGAGTCTGGCACGCAGGACTAATTTACAAACAAAAAGACTACGGGTACACAGGAGCAATGACAAAGCTCCTCAAGTCGTACTTAGGTGGAAGGCAGTTTCGTGTCAAGATAGGTACCGCCCTGTCTAGATACGCAACTCCGGAAGCTGGAGTGCCAGAGGGCGCAGTTCTGTCACCGCTTCTGTATACAATCTACACAGCCGACGACACAGCGATCGCTGTCAGGAGTACCAAAACAGGTATGATATGCCGATACCTGCAAGAAGCAGCCACAGAAATCGAGGACTGGAGCATCAAGTGGAAGCTGAAGATAAACCTTGACGACGACGACACACCCCAACTGGGGAAATAGAAATGGAAGAACGAAACATACCATGGACAAACACTGCGAGATACCTCGGAGTGCAACTGGACCAAGGACTGACATTCACCGAACACGTGACAAAAATAACGACAAGAGCTACTGCGGTAAGGAGTAACCTCTACAGTGTCATAGGACGACGCAGTAAGTTACTAACCAAGACCAAACTACGGGTGATAAAATCTATAATCACACCCATACTGACATACGCTTCGGTTTCATGGGGACATACATGCAGAACCAACAGGAAGAAAGTACAAGCTCAACAAAATATGTGTCTCAGAGTGGCTGCTAACGCACCTTGGTACATTCGCAAACGCTATCTGTTTAGAGATCTTGAAACCATCACGGTTTTGGATATCATGAACAGTAGAGCCGCACATACTTTTAGAGATCTACAACACCCTAACCGCGAGCTGAGGGACCAGACAAACTACGAAAGAGCAGACTACAGGAGACATGCGCGACCCGGAAAACAACTGGAGTACGCAAACGACGACAACTAAAATAATTATGTGTGAAAGCGCTAGATTTTACTTAAGTAGGCCAAACAAAGAAAACCAAAAACAACAAAAAAATACAAAAAATACAAAAACAAAAAAAAAACACAAATACAAATTTATATATATATATATATATATATATATATATATATATATATATATATATATATATATATATATATATATATATATATATATATATATATATATATATATATATAAAATAGTTTTAAGTTCGGTCATTCGCCGAAAATCGTACCCAAAACCACATTAGATGTATTAATGTGCGTTTTGGGTACCATCACATATTACAAAGACTTCCGCCTTCTGCAGGTTTCTCCCCTTTGAGACTCTCATCACTGGGACTCGGAAAAGGGTATATCCTTCGGTAGGCAACAGACGTGAACAAACAGACAACTGACGACACACGTTGCACACTGTTGGCTTATCTGGTCACCGTCATAGGGGTCCAGATAAGCACTCACTAAGCAACGGATAACAACGCACCAACAAACCGCGAATGTATGAAAGAGTAAATCAATGCATAAGAGTTTTAGGTCCTCAACAGACTCTTATTAAATGACGATACCTCGCCTCAACCTTCACCGCTCAACCGAAGGTATGGGGTGCCAATCAAATGCTATTGACATGAGGACCAAGCAGCGGATGAAAAACGCTTGGGGTAGATGGAAGGGTTTAGTAGGTTTCGATCCAGTTTAACAGGATGGGAACTTATTTGACTCGGGCCTATTACTGCGTGCGTACAATTATATTCTTTTAAATATATAAAAGTAACTTGCTCACTCTCCTTCCACACAAACACATCTACACTACTTAAGATAAAATGGCTTGATCCTCTTTAATCTTCGAACGTGGCCCTGCTTTTATGTTTGGATAGATGCTTAAATAGACTATTTTGCTATTTGTGACACATCCCCGTAACTGAATGCCTTAAAACTTGTTGTAGATTAATATTTTATTGTGTACTGTCTGTTTTGATTTTCTGCTGAGGTACCTACTAGTAGTATTGTTTATATTTTAATCCTAATTCAGTTCTTTCATTTTCATTTAGGAAGATAGTTCCTGCTATTTTTTATAAGTAAAGTTCACATGGATGAATACATTTCAAAAAGCTTATTTTCAATTGTTTAGTCTAAAATTTCGAAAACAAATATATCTTAAGTATAATATTTCTGCGATGTCTCCAGGCCGCACAGCTTAGGTAAATAAGTTTTTATTTATTATTTTTAATTATTAGAATACATACTAGAAACATATTTCTATTTACTTTATACTTTACATTTAGATTCAATCCACATCTGAGTGGGATTAGGGATCCTAGTATGAAAATATTATCAGGTTCTTAACCGTCTCACTTCATATCCGTTCAATGTTTTTTTTAAGCCATCAAGTTTTAAAACATATAGCAACAATATTCTATGTGTTTTCAAATTTGATAACAAATATTTTCAAATCGAACTTTTCATTCAAAATTTAAATCTCGGGTATAAAGTTCTTATTCTCGAAAACCGCACAAGTAAGCGAATGTCTGGTTACTCTAATAGCACTGTTTGTTGCGAAATGGTTTAGCCGTTCGTCGTTCCCCTCCCTTTGGAGAAGACATACTCCTAATACGTAGGTTATGTTTGGGCCAGCTTGACGTAAGATAAGAGCTGAAATGAGTAAATTCTTATGATTATAAAAAGATTCAGTTTGAGAAGATTCCCATGCGAACTTGGCTTTTTTCTTATCCAATAATGGTATGGATATTTGCGCGAAATTTGGCACAAACCAACGGAACCAGACACACGTTTGCAAAAATGCACGTGTTTAACATTTCGTGGCGGGGTCGGTTC